CAATGGCGATTGTGGCAATGAGCTCGAATATCATGCTGAATGTGTTTGGGAACAAAATCTTCCTCTGTACTGTGAGTTGTATGTGCATAAATCTAATGAAGCGGCTCAGTTCCGAATAAGCAATGCGATGAAGAGATGATGTCATGAAGACGTTATGCTCATAATAGATTATTCAAATTTCCGCCTATTAGACGGCCAGCGTAGCTGCCGCTAGTTGGAATGTTGAAACCGATCTTGAATATCCTGACACCTTCCTCCCCTTATTTATTTATTTATTCTATTCATTCTCTTATTAGCTTTTTCCGTCAGACGACCCAGTTCGCGCACTTTACTATTTTCCTTTTTTTTTATTCCCTTACCTCTTCTCATTTCATTTCAATTAGTCACTGTTATAATGTTAATCCATTCCCTAGCCATGTTTTATATATTTTAGCACATTTCATTCATTCTACATTCTTTGTAATTTCCTTTTTTGTTTTTACTAGGCTTTCCACTCCCAGAGGAAGGAGGCTTCACACCTCCTAAACGTCGGTTTCACCGCTTTTTAATAATTTGATCTGGTCTGATCGCTCCCTGAGCTGCCGTTTTACATTCATTCATTCATTCCCCCTATCCAAGTGGATCCCGGTCGTTAAGGAGGCAACTGTGGGCCTTTTCCGTCTATATCCTTTGACCATGAGCATTCTTTAAAACCCACTTGCTCTTACTCTGCCGCAATTTGCAATTGAGTTTGTCCCAATTTCTTTTTTAATAGTTGAAAGCAATTCCTGAGATTTATTATTGATTTGTTTGTAATTTGCATTCATTTACCACTCGGAATATCAAAGAAATGGAAAATTGGCTTCTGGACTTGGCACTTCAATTAGGTCCACTTGCCACTCAGGGTATAGATGTTGCTTCAGTGTTTATGTACTACCATATTTTTTCGTCATGGAAATCTGCTTTATATCATTTCCTTTGATAGGGGTCTTTTAACAGACACCATACCGTTCCGAACCAAAATTTGAAATTAATCGCCGCCACGGCATGGCCCTTTCAACGGTCTCAGGAAAATCCTTTCCACTCCAGGTAAGTTTACCTTAGATCTTAAGAGCCTGCACAAGAGAAACCGAGGGGGAAACGCCGTTGACCTCGTATTGTGACCTCGTTTAGATACAGGGCGTGTGGAAAGTCGCTGAACGAATTTGAACAGTTTTAACTCAGCAAGGAATGCATTATTTGCAAACGGTTGCTTTCATAGAAATGAGCGCATGCTAATTTCCAAAAATGCAACGTTGAAAAAAAGGATTCATTTGGCGTAAAAAATAACTGTAATTACTGACCATGATATTGAGCACCATCAAGTTCGATCACCGTCACTGAAGGAAAATTCCAGCAATCTTTTCAGTGGCGTGTTCCTTCAGTTCAATGATCGAACGCGAATTTTCGGCATATACCTGGTCTTTAAATACAACCCCGCAGCTAGAAGTCGAGTTGAGTCAGCTTCAATCCGGTCTGCCTTCAGAGCCAAACGACGCTTCAACTCGGAAAGATTCATATCACAGATAGAGAATAAATTAACGATGGCGACAGATTCCTCCAAAGATATTTAATCGGTATTATCAGAAAACGATTTGGAAGAGCAAAATTCGACAGAAAATAATCGCGAATTGGGCGTCCGTTGTAAATAACACTTTCATGTAGAAAATTTTCCTTTTCGCTTTGTGCAGGCTCATCTCATTTTTTTTTGGAATTTCGTGAAAATGTCCATGTTGTTTCGTCAAATAACGCACGCTCTTTCAGATGCAAAAACCAATTGCCATTAATGCCTTCCTTGTTGAATTATTGCAGTTCAAAGTCGTCCAGTCACTTTTGACACTGTATTTTAAATGTTTCGAAAAGAATGTTGTTATATTGCTTATGGTTCTGACTACCCCAAGTGAAAGTTTTATCTGCAAATTTTTTTTAGGGTGCTGATGCATTATGACTTTTCTAGCCCCTTTTTCTACAGATATTTGGTCATCATTAACTGCCACGTTATTGTTCGTATCTTTTATCCCATGGCAGTCCCAACTTAAAATGTGGTGCATGCGAAACCAAAAGTCTCAGAATAACATGGTAATTTTAGTATATAAAAAAAAGAATAACATTATCCGTTTGTCAAACGTCAAAATACAAAAATTTTTCCTTTTGATATTTTATTCCCTTAAGTCTTTGTGAAACACACATGAAATCAAATTACGTTAAACGAGCATGAAATAAATAACGCGTCCATTATCTCCTTACATTAATTAGTTCAAAACCCATGAGCATTTCAGAGATGACCGCCTGACTTCCTCAAGGAAGATGAGCGTTCCGGTGGATTATTTTCTAAATGGATCACCCGCAACCCCTAATCGAAATGGGATGGGGGTCGGGTGAATGGCTCTGATGATTTCATATGGAATGACCCGTATCCCCTATGTTGCCAATCGGATGGAAACCGCGCAGACCTGCCTCGATTGTCGCCGATGAAGCCCGAGAATAAGCGCATATGCTTTAGGGTGGTGGCAAACCCACCCGCGACGGTTCGGTGGTTCTTCGAGGATAAGCCCCTCCAGGAATCCGGGCTCATCCGGATGATCCAGGATTGCTTCCCAGCCATGCCCACTGAAGAGAGCACTTGTGAGTATTTCACGGAAAGCAATTTCTATGAGTTCTTTTTCGAAGGAAGCCTAGGGCTCATGTCCAAACGCAACAGCAGACAAAAGCTGTTGTCAAAAGTAAGAATGTATAGAGTTTTGAGGTTGTGTATATTCTGCTTAGTCATTAAGAAATTGCAGATGTGGACCGATGGAATGAAATATGTGCCTTGAAGTGCTTATTTTTCTCATTGCAAGCCTAATTCACAAGGCCCTGAATCGTACTTGGACATGATCAATCCCCGTATCATTAATATCATAAATGATATTTTTTTGGAATTTGAAATAATTCATTTTTTCGATGAGCACCCTAACGTCCCATCATCATCGCTTCTCTCCGTCGTTCCTGAAGGCTGCGTTAGATCAGTCTTGGCGACGTACTCTCACAACGGAGTATACACGTTGATGGCAGAGAACGCCCTCGGGCGTGCGAACGGGTCCATGGATGCCCGGTTCACGCAGCCGGCAGATCTGGGCCTGGAGCGGGGACGCACGCATCGCTTCCCTTTCCACGTACCAGGCTTGAAAGGAGGCAACCACTTCTACGAGCACCCGAGCAGCTCCCCTTCGAAACCTATGATGGACCTACTTTGGGTATGTGGATTGTGTGCATACACCTGCATGTGCGTGTGGATAAGGGGTGGTGTCCGAAATCGCGTCTTCGCGAGGCTTAAAACCGGAAAGATTTTTAAATGGTGTGAGAAATGTCATCGAATGAATTAAAAAGAAATGAAATAACAGTTCATTGGCGCAAAGGTAAATGTTTCCAAAATCGTGCTGCTCACGAGTCGACAGTAAAAATTAACAAAAATTAGCTCGACATGTGCAAAGTAAGCAAATATGGTAGGAATCATGAAAGATCAGGGGAAAAGCGACACATTGTGGGAATGAAACAGTTTCATTCAATCCTGAACAAAAGTTGTCCCAACGAACGAATTACACAATCAATTAAGGACTTCTTCATTGAACACATTGTCCGTAACGGAGCCAGCATCAGTTTTCCCTTGCCTCAATCAATTAATTACCTGAATCTTCGATGAATCCTCTGAGTGAACTCGCGACCAGGCAATCAACATTTGCCCCNGCCTCAATCAATTAATTACCTGAATCTTCGATGAATCCTCTGAGTGAACTCGCGACCAGGCAATCAACATTTGCCCCAGCGTGAATGCAGACTCCGGAAGTAGCAATCCGACTCGATCCGATGTCTGTCCCCTTGACTTGTTTCCAGTCGCCGGCAAGCTCGACAACGAAATGCCGTCGACAGAGATGGACCTGGTATGCTGATCGGTATGCGTCCAGAAACTCTTGGCAGCATGCGAACGCTGCCACGAAGCGAAGAAAATTTCCTCAACTTTTGAGACTTTTGCGTTCGTGTCTCTCGTGATCATAAGCGGGCCGTTGCGAAGATCGTTCCCGAACGAGAGATTATGTATAATTATTACGAATGCAGCAATTATAATTGTACATAATAATAATAATTATAATAATAATTTATCATAATTTTGAGGTTTATGAAGTGCGGAAGAGGACTACGAGGATTCAGCTTGTTGAGGAGTTCGACCGGAAAGTCGACCTGCCGATCGGGATCATCATCACCATCATCGTTCATCACAGTGTCGATACTGTGTGAGGAGTTCACATCTCGACTTCCAAATGAAACGACAAGTCCTCGTCGCCCAAACGGATGTGCTCATTCTTGGGACACAGAACGGCTCGCTGCTCACTTGGGCATCGCAGACCCTATGCCGTTGCAGAAATAGCTCGTTCGACAAATCATCGGAGATGAGATCGTCTGCACGGAAAGCGCAGGTCCACCTTCGTTTATTCGTGGAAGCGTTTCGCTGCCCACTTCGAGCAACCATCGGGCCTAACGAATTTCGTTTGCAACAGCATGCCTGTTTCCTGCAAACGTACCGTTTGGCACAATGACCACAGCGGGCACATTTTAATGCAATTATCGACGATATGACCGCGAGATGCTTCGCGGACGACTGCCAACACTTGGCGAAATTCATCGCCCAGCAAAACTACTTGGCCAACAGCAACAGACGGTCATCGTTGACGATTCTCGCAACGCCCGTTCGATCGTCGTCAGCGCTTCGACGGGCGCCATAGGCGCTTCGTGTCAAATGATGTCAGTTGTTCAAATAATTGGATGAATTATGTGCGATGAACGGCACGTTTACTGCGCGAGTAGATCCAATGGGAAATCGAAGGCCGTGTGACCTGGTATCAAAAGGTAGAAAGGTAGTGGAATTGCAGCAATACAAGTTCATCCAACAATCATTTCAGTGCCACGAAAATGCAATGCCACGAAATATATAAATGAATGAGCGTCATGAAAGGAATGTTTTACCAGTGCCACCTGACCCGCGGACGAAGAAACAGCGCTGCGCTTTCCGCTACGAACTCGCCTCTGCATTGAAATCGTTCAACCCGCTTCGTAAACGGAACGTTGAGCATACGATGGCTTCTGATTTTGATTTGGAGGATCGATATCAAGAGGTTGTAGGCTGATCGTAGTCAGGTGATAGACCTCGTCGGATATTATGAAGAAGTATGAACTGTTACCGGGATTATTTTAAAAATCGTTGCACCGAAGGAAGAAAACGCCTTTGCGCTATGTTGCCTCAAAAACTGGCGAAAATAGCGCACGCGTTAACAACCCCATGTTGCTCTGCAGTTTACGCAGCCCTTCGCTGCATTCATTCCGCTCTCCTCTCGCCATTCACCTTCTCATATTACTCAGTGGTCAGTGCAGACCTGCGCCGTCTCTTGTTTTCGCTGTCTCCTGCTCATGTTGCTCTGCAGTTTACGCAGCCCTTCGCTGCATTCATTCCGCTCTCCTCTCGCCATTCACCTTCTCATATTACTCAGTGGTCAGTGCAGACCTGCGCCGTCTCTTGTTTTCGTTGCCTCCTGCTTCCGTTCTGCATAGCACCACTTCCTAAGCTATTTAGAATACTAAGCTATTTAATCCATCCTCCCTAGCCTATGACCTGGAAAGGCGAAACGCTGTAGGCCAATCGGCCACATACCACGAGTAACCTTAGTATATTCTGTTGTTTGGATTCTTTCCGTTTCCTCGCCTGAAGATTGTCATCACCGCAGGGGAAATCATGAGCCAATTTATCATCATATCACTTTACAAGGAAATAGTCTTTTTATAAATAGGAATTTCGAGCCATGTTCACAGCGAATTCTATTTCCTAGGGAATTCTTTATTTTTCTTGGTTCAATCTAATAATATAGACGATCGTTACTGAGTGAGTGACTTAGTGACTGACGCTAATTCTAACCATGTTCGAGAAATTGTAGAAATCTGAAAATTAGCACAGAATTAGCACTATTTTGATGCATAATTCGGCCGCGTAGGCATTGAAAAACGAAACCCATAAAAAGTACTTATCACTTTTGGAAAGAATTTCACCATAAGACAATCAGCCTTTTTAAAAATTACATTGAATAAATATCAACCACAGCATCACGAGAATTCCTCTCGCCATAGTCCAAGATACCAACAATGATTTACCGCGATGAGGTCAGTTTCGTATCAGTTCTGAAGGCCAACGGTTTGAATGGATGTGAATATTTCCTCTGGTGAGTCGTAATGTCCTTAATGATTTAAAATGCTATATATTCCACCTTGAAATAGTGTATCTCTCATACTTTAAGCGTGTATAGATGGAAAAGATTAGCAATCGAACATTAAAAGGGGTTTCCTGGAGCACCTACAAATGACGACTCTTCCAGGAATTTCGTAGGAGCATTCAAAGGAATTTGAGTCCGTCCAACTCACCGTTTCCCCAAAACTTGTGTATTCTTTATTTTCTTTATTGTCTAGGAGTCTATTTCCCGCGTTGAAATGGAGGACAATAATCTTCGATAAGTGAACTGACAAGGTTAATGAAATATTTCAGGCATCCATTCTCTCAAATTCCCATAGCAACTCTCGAAGGAATCCGCAGCCTCGGGAGAACCATCCCAATAGACGCTTTGCAACCTTCCTTATCCTCAAAGGCCCCTTTACCCTTGATTTCATGGGTTCACGCTCGAGGCTCAAAAGGAATTTAGGACGGATGCAGTGCAACTAGATGCGAAAGCCAGTTGGACCTGTATTCTTTCAAGCGAGGAATCGCCAAGTATTCCTATGCCCAATCATGTTGAAAATTGTTTCACGGTTGAGTAATTCCAGACAAATGCTATGCAAATCTGTATCTCTTGAATCAACTTCAATTTTATATGTGTGACTGCAAAGACGAATCGTTCAAATTTGAGAAGTATAATCCAATATGGAGCGTCTTGCACATTTTAAAACACAGGCTCAATCCCATAGGCTGTGAGCATTTGTCTGAATATCGATTTCAATGGCCGGCAGGATCCTGTTTATTCTTATACGGTGCATTGGATCAGAAGCGTAATACAGTCCTCCTGAATTGAGACCCTTCCCCCTCTTTATTCCGTCTGCGATCGATGAGGGAATTAATGAATCTTGATGCCAAATATGGTGCTCTTCGTGTGCAGAAAAAGTTGATATCAACGGAACGGCAACATTTAAGATGATTGTGCCTGGTCCAGACATTTAGGTTCACATTTCTCATCTCATATAAAGCATTAAACTCAAGAAAAATTTTGGAACCTTTTCTGGTTTTATGGATGACCAAAATTACATATTCATAATGGAATATGCTCTTGGATTGCCTCTGAAGGATCTTTAGAAAATTTATTTCATTGAGCTAAAGCTATGTAAGAATTTAGACCTAGAAATACCTGCATAGAAGAAATGTAATGTAATGTGCTAAGTTCGAGGCGTTTTTTTTCAGGTATGGGGATATCCATCGTAGCCACTCATAAGCGATGCCATGCTGATTTTTAGTTCTTCATCACCTTCTTGAGTTCTTGAGAGATCAACGGGATGCAAAATTATAGTAATCACACCTTTGGAGCATTAGAGAGATGAGATGTTGTCAATGAGGTGTAGTGCACCTAATTTCGAGAGGTGTGTCCCTAAGTTCGAGCATAGGTGTTCCTAATTTCGTTATGGTTTGTTCCAAGTTCAAAATGCTTCCATGGTGAACAAAGTAATTTACTGAATGTATTCTATTTGCTTCATGGTGGACACAGATCCTCTTGCGCAGAATAATTTTCTATAGGCTTAATTACAAATTACAGAAGCTGTTGCTTTGAAATATTGCGGGATAATGCGGGAGAATTTTAAGAATATTTTAAAAGAGATTTGTTCATTTTCAGCAAAGCCAATGTGCTGGTTTAGTACATTTTTGGTCTAGTTTTACACAGGAACCCCACTGATTGCACTCTTTCTTCCGTTATGAATGAACACGACTGAGCACACTGAGGAAATTACGTATGCCACACCTGCATCGGAATAATAAAATTAATGTTGTGTCATTAATGAAGGTGGAAGAAAACACCATTCCAATGCGAGTACTTCTTAGGACACATTGTAAACGCATCCTTAAAAATTTTTTAGGCATGTCTTGATGCGCTCAAATCTTGCAAAGTTATTGAATATTCTTTCTCAGTAAATAATTATTCATGGAATGGGCAATATGCTCGATTGTTCTCATTCTGGAAGGCCTCAAGTACCCCCTCCTTATTAGTTCACCACTGAATTATACCCCTGAGGGGACCTATGGTGTCATTTGAAGCACAGTTGATGTGCATTCAAACACAGTGAGGAGCATTTGAGAAAAAAAATTGCCACCTAGAGCATTTCCTGTTGTACGGAACACACAATGCCTCCTGATTATCAATATTGCTTGAGTTCTGCTATTAACTCTTGGCAAGAAGATTTTGCATCTATGTAGAGCATTCACATCCATCCACGATTAAACTTACATCCTCTCTTCTTATTTCAAGGGTGGCATTTTACATTTTTTCCTCAAATAAGTAAACCCATTTTTCGTATTGCGAAGGAAAACATCAACGAAAGGAACCAACGGACGATCTCTGAAAAGTTGAGCTCTTTTCTTATATTCATAGGTCGGACAGTCAAAAGCTCGTGTCTGTATCAAAATAAAAACCAGCCCTTCGAATTCATAACCCACCGGGTAAGGAATTTCTGTGGACAAACAACAAGGGCCGCGTCTCAGAAGACGCGGCCCCTAAGGGCACGCCCCTAATTGCCAGAAACATTCCTGTTATCCCCAGGGAACCTCAAACATCCGACGTACGTCCTCCGTATGTGAGAATATACGATGGATGTTTGTCGGATGACTACCTGGCTCTATTCAGATAGTATAGAAGCAGAAAAAGACCCTTCCTTTTTTTGTTTGAATCCATGTAACGTCACGCCATAAAATCAAGAATACGGTATCACTGGTTTTTGCATAAATTTCATACATCACAGGAGGAGAAAATGAACAAGTGAAAACGTGTGCATGCGGCGTGTGACTAAGAGCCTGGGAAAAAAGAAATGTTGGCGGGGAGGGGACTTCCTTAATTATTTTTTTGCTGGGTTGAGATGGTCCTTTCAGTCGCAATAAGGTCTGCCTGCGCAAAATGGTCTACTTTTCACATATGAATGATATATAGCAAAGTACATTACTGTACTATTCGAGACAAGAGCAGACTTCACAAATGAATTTTCAAGAAATGTCACATCTGACAGTCACAAAATGGCCCTTGCTTTCTTTTCGGATTCTGTAATTATGGAATGACGCACTAATTTCAGACTTTCATTCAATCTATAGAATGAACATAACACTAAATTGATGACTCATACTATGTAGTAAGTTCTTCGTTTGATAGAAAGATGAAAATTCATACAGATATAGTTCTAGAAATGATGTCGAGAATATATTTAAATGTGGTGGATAGTATCCTGGGAGTCTACGTTTGAGATTGGGTGAGGGCATTTCAATATTTTTATGCATATGTATGGCTACCTGAGAGACTCATGAACAGTGCATTTGAAGGGAATTTTGATAAAATAATGTAGATCTCACTGAATGAGTAGGATTCTGCTGTGTTTTATTTGTTGTCTCCTGATTGAATATACCCAAGAAAAGCAGACAAGGACTGCATCTTCTTTCACGAAAATAGATCGTTTACTTGTTCCAACTTGAAGTTTACTCTCCCATGGTATTTGTTGAATTTTCCAACATTTTCTCAAATTTTCTAAAGTTTTTCTTTGGAAAAACTCCCCATCCGGGCTTCAAGACCTCAGCCTAAGTAAATGAGAGGTACATCCATGTTCCAGGCCCTGACCAGGCCCTTGAGTGACAGGGGTCGAAAATGTGCTATCTCGAACTAAGGCATATAACACTCCTTTTTTATTGCTTTGGGTGTTCTACCAGAATAAAGACAATAAATTCCCGACCGGCTGGTACGGTCTAAAGTAGATATGCAAATCCGATTAAGAGTATTCCTGTCCTGTCCGAAAGCCATCATATTTCGATTGTAGCACTGTCATTTAGGTAAATAGCTTATAGACTAATATTTTCAGGCGCAAATGCAATCGAAATACATGAACTAATGACAAAACAACCTCATACCGCAGCAGTTCTCAACCTGAAAACTCTTCTGAAGAGCCTCATCTAAAATGCAACACTCCTGACTTCAGCCTTAATAAAAGTGCATAAGAATATCCACTACAAATTAATTTAAATAACAATTTGACTCATATTGTGTTCTCCTGGTATGCAGTATTATTTAATAGAGTCAGTCATGTTTAATATCAAGGAGTCATATTTAATATTTAGCATGAATGTCAAGATCAATATTGTTGATGCCATGAAAGGTGGATACTCCGTTTTTCTATCAGATATATGTGAAACTTTTCTTTTTCTGCGTATTGCGAAAAAAGTTCAGGTTCTGTCCACGTAATACAATTAAACTGTTAGGTCACTTCAAATTTTGAGCAGCATCTTAATTTTTCTAGGAAGCTAATATCAGGCGCATATGAGTAAAATTTTCAATATTAATCCTTTTTTAAATTATGATTTCGCCAAATGATGGTTCGAAATAGACATGTCATGCACGAATTTCAGAGGTCCTGGCTTCGCTCATATTAATGCGAATGGAGATTCGCGGGTGTGAAGGGGTGCCGCTGACATCTCGCTGCCGGAGAATAGTGCCATTGGGCAGAGTAGGTGGAAAACCATAGTAGGAGTATAATCTCATTAAGGAATTATACCTATGAAAAAGGATTAGCTATCAGTCTATTCCCCTCTACAAGGGATAATTCGATGTACCGAATAAAGGAAACTGAGATGATTTGGTCATACAGACAGCCTGGGTGAGGGGCAGTGTAGGCAGTCGATATAACCGACGGACAAGCACTTCCCTCGGGGAGCTTTACATGACCAGATCTCAGATCTGTGAGGTGTCCTCCTTTTTACTTGCAGGTGATTTTAATATCATGCTGCACGTCGTTCGTCGTGATAGGCATCCCCATCTTCGTCCTCCTCGGAATGAGACACTTCAGGAATCGATCTCCAAGGTGAGAAGCACGCATATGCGTCATGTCTGAGTCCTGCCGCAACTAGACGCTCCTATTGCAGTGCAAACTGATTTCTTCGAAGTTGCCAGCTTCCATTTTCTTCCAATGTTCCTTGTATCTCTCGTAATTTTCTTCTTTCTAATACGGGTTTTCTCCGACATGAGGAAATGAAGAAGGAAAGGAAATGAAAGCAAATATTCATGAATTTTCGGAGATTCTCCTGTTGGCAGAAAATAAAAAAAGAAATTAAATAAATTTTTTTGAATAGACATAACGTGAAAGGCTTGCAGGAAATATTGTGAATCGCAACTGCAGCGAATAATGATTTTCTCTTTGCATTCTCCTCCAGATACGGGTTGGAGGTAATGCAGATGAAAAGGGAATACGTCCAACTGCGCCGCCTCAGGGCAGATCTCCAATGCGACTGGGACGACAAGAACGCGACGTCGATTGCGACGACGGACCCATCGCACCTCCCTCTCGTGGAGATCCCCTTGCACGCCTTGGAGTTGAAGCAAATCCTAGGGAAAGGGAACTTCGGCGAGGTTTATTTCGCCATTTACAATTTCATCCCAGAAGAAGGGAATGACCCGGAATCCTGCAAGGTCGCTGTAAGTGTTTTTGTGCTGAATGATTTCCATATCTCTAACACACGATTGGTGTAATAGGGGGATAGGCTATAGGTTCAATACTGGATTTTGTTGCCATTGTGTTAAATATGAAAAGCAAGGGTGAAATTTTAATGAAATATATACGCTCATAAGAGTTGGTTAATGCCATGGAAGCTATTCATGGATATGGAGGTTTTGGTTAAGGAAAACCAAATAATAATAATAATTGACGTCGTGTGAGGAGAACGGCTTAGGCCGATGTTGCCAGAAAGTTTTTTTTTACCTAATAAATACAAGTCTAATCCGAGATTTCAGGCCTGAGCAAGACCTAGCTTAATTTGAAGTAACGATCTTTCGGCTCGAGTTTGTCTCTGGGTCATTTTACTCACCGAACAAGGCATTTAGTTGCTTCGTTTTAGTGGCGTCTGGGGCGCGTCCTTGGAGAATGGAAAGATATAGACGTATCTACACTGTATGAAACCAATATTCTTTGGATTTCGGATTTGAATGGGGAAATAATTTCAATTCTTTGTATATGCTGCACGGAGGAGGGAAACGACCTTGCTTGAGTTCGGCCCGAACAACCTCTACGTTTAGTCTGCCGAAAGGTTTGTAGCCTCTAGGCAGACTCGCTAATCTGCGTTATGCTCTGCCATTGGAACGCATGGAAAACAGGATGAAAGGATGGGGACTGTTTCGGCTTAAGTATCCCAGTAGCTGTGTCTGGTCATGTAACATATCTGGATCATATTTGGTACGCAAATTACCAAAAACTTATGGGAGAGAGGACTAGGGTGTCTCGAAAGTAAAACAAGAAGAAATTGTCAGTGAGGGAATGCTCCAATGAAAATGAAATGAAAATAGAACCTCGGATTACTTTGAATCTGAGATGAATGCAATGAGTCCAGCACAATGTGTCGCTTCAGGGAGTCAATAAAGCCTACTGCATAGTAAGAGTTGAAACACTAATTTTTAAAACGTATGAAATAGATCGACTTTGTTCCGTTGCTGTGGCAATCTGACTCCAGTGGTGACCAATATTAGGTAGTGATTTTATTTTTGTAAATAAATTGAATATATATCGTGTGTCAACCAAGCATACCTCTCTGTGATTTGATTAAAAAAAAATATTCTCCTAAACGTTACTGTTTAATAGAATTGAATTCTATAATTGATTTCCTGATTTATATAGAGTCATTAGTTTAATTTAAAGTAGCCGAAACCTGCATCCCCAAAATTACACTGGGCTCTTCTCATCATTATTGAACAGGTGAAGTTCCCAAAGGAAGGGAACAGCGAAGAGCACAAACAGGATATCTACCGAGAGGCGCAGATGCTGGCGAAAATGCGACATCCCAATATCATCCGACTTCTTGGGATAGTTAGGAGCCAGACGATAGGGATCGTCTCCGAGTTCATGGCACTTGGTGACCTTAATGGCTTACTCAGGTATATTTCCGAGACGAATTCACTAGTGCTCTATTCCGAAAAGCTTGACAACGTTTTCTCCAAAGTAAAGGTGTTACCATGGATTGCAAGGAAAATATTATAAATACAAATTTCATTGCACATTGAGCATAAACCTAAGAAATTTTCTTAATCTAAAATAGTTACGCCTCTTCTGAGACGGATGGCCCTCATAAATATCCACCTGTTGCCACCGGAATTAAACGACAGGTGGAATACAGGGGGGAGAGGGTGAGACTTGAACTATGTACACTTTCCATTAGCGTGTATTTAGAATCAGGAGAATATCTCTTGTTTGGTGTATTCGGAACTTATGAGCGTATTTTCCTCGTACGAGGACATTTTTCTAGATGCAAATCCACCCTGAAGGTGGAAATTTTTTCCCGGGGTTAAACTCTCTGGAACCACGCAATACTTTTCTTTGAAGGATTTGCCTTAGAAGCCTTGGATTAATTGAATACGCATTTTTCTTAGCAGTTGGATGAAAAAAATACAAATTTTGTTCCGAAATATGCGTTTTAATTGACAGACTCGGCATTAAAAAATTAAAAATGCTGTTGTCAATCTTTCGCTCCATCTCATTAATTGCTCATTTTTGAGGAAATTGAAATTTAACAGGATTTTACGCGGAATGAAGCAAAAGGAACTTTTTAATGAGAAAGGCATGAGAGTCGCACTACGTACTTTTCCGTAGGAAACTAGGACCGAAATCAAAACATTTTGGAGTGGAGAGTGGGAGCGAGCCGCAGCTGGGTAAATTGGGACTGGAGGACTTGGTCCATGTTGCGATCCAGGTTGGGTCTGGTCTCAAGTACCTCACGGATCGACACTTCGTCCATCGGGACCTGGCAACGAGGAATTGCTTTGTCGGGGAGAACCTCACAGTCAAGATCGGGGACTTCGGCTTGTCTAGGGACGTCTATAGCTCCGACTATTACCGGGTTCGTGTCTTAGTCATCTAATGTTAAAACCACCCGTGGTGGTACAATCAGTTTTTCATTCCTGTCTGGAGGAATTGATTATCCGTTGTCCCAGTTGACGTTACGTTCATGTCGTCCGAGCCACATTGGAGATTGGCCTGGATAGGCCCTGCTGGACGTCGTCCCTTTTCTCTTGCATTCCCTCCCATTCCTTTATGGATGTGAATGCAAGGAGAAAATCTTTATTCTCTGCAGTTGCTAATAACAGTATCGTCAGCAAGCCCTTCACGTTATGCCCGTCTTAGGAAATTCCTTCTTCGCTCTTTTCAATTTTCTGTATACAGGAAAATCTCATAAAATATTTTCTTAATATACATATATATCATGTATATATCAGGTTGTAAAGGTGAAATTTAGAAATTTCGATTTTTTTCTAGGAAAATCTGGAAAATGTTAGAACTTTCTATGTAGGTGTATAAGAAGAGTGACCAGTGGGCATTGTGGGCGTGAGTGCTTATCGTGAACCTACAACAGATACATTGACGCGAGACTGCACTCTAGTCGTTGCTGAGTTAATTGTCAATAAATTGTTTTCTGGAAAATGTCTAAATTTCACCTTTACAACTTGATATATATTTTCATTTCCTTAGCTTCCTTACTACCTCATGCTGGAGAAAATGCCTCTATGATAAATGGTGTAAAATATGGGCGCCATCCTGTTATTTTTTGAATGTCCGAATAATATATCTTCACATCCCACTAAATCGATAGATCACTGCTAGCTAATATTTCAGTCTAACCTATTTTAATGAACTCAGCACAAAATCATCTCACACAAGAAAACAAAAGATTCTGGCACTGACACCAAGGCCGAAGGAGTCAAGAACCTGATATGACTCCGGCACGATATCCGGCAACCCGGGAGAAATGGACTGGGTCCATCACGCCGAGCATAAATTAAATGTAGCTAATTTCATTTTTCATGGCAAAATGTTGCCCTGAAAGCAACGAAAATAGCACATTTCATCACCTACTTGTCAATATCTTTCGTATCTTTCCTCTGAAACTCCCCAGGAGTGTCTACCGAGGGGGAGAAAAAAAAATTACGGTATTAAATTCACACCTTTGAAAAGCGAGATCCAGTGATTTCCCCGGGGGGAAAAAGCTTCACATTTTCTATAGCGATTTTATGTTGAGGAAGGAAGAAGAATACCAAACTTCGTTCCTGTTGATACTCTTAGAGATAAATACGAAACCGTTGAATTTAGTCGCGAGAAAGGGTTGAAAAAAAAGTGCGGAAGCGCATTTTTAAAATTTATTTTATCTGACTTTATTACGAGGGGCAGTCAAATGAAACGTAGCGGATGAAAATTTCAGACATTGAAATCAACTTACATGTTAATAATCACCATGGTTGGCAAGGCACTTCTTCCATTGTGAAACCAGACGACGGATGCCCTGTTCAAAAAATTCCTTGGGCTGGGATCGAACCCACTCGCAAACAGCCTCCTGCACCGCTGCGT